GTGAAATCACAACGTACTGGCTATATGTTTCTCTGTAACAAGCCTGTCTGACAGCTCAATGTCATGAATTGTATTGACAATTTCAGGGGTTGCAACAGTGACAGACCTTCCAGGACAGGCTCTGCCTGTCACGCTTTAATTCCGTCAATCACATTTTCACTGACTTTCAGTGACATCAATACCTGGTGTTGTTACCATATCAGTATGAATATCTTCAGGTGCTAGACCTTTGTTATGCAAATATTGAATCACTGCTCTTTTTCCGCCATATTGTTCATTTTTCAAAAGTCACTTGCTATGTTTACTTTAAAGTACTACCTCTTCAACATAAACTGACCAAATGACACCAGTCTTCGGGTACACAACCTTAAATAGTCAAAAAACAGCAGAGTTAAAGAAAATGAAATTTCTGCTTACCTTCTTCAATACAAAGTTCACAACTTATCAATCAACCCTTGGATGTATAACAATTTTTACGATTATCCAAGGGCAATCAATGTAATCTTCTACAAAACGTCTAGAAATTTATTACATTATGTCGTACTTCCAGTCAAACGTCAAAAGAATCAACCCCCCAGTTGCACATTGTCAGTATAATGATGCCCGGGGGTGTTATAGCGCCATAGAAAGCGTCCGTTAGTGGCCTCATGGTCAACGTGATGAAATTGACATTCGTAATGAAAGATCAGGCAAATAGTTAAATTTTCAACATCGCAGATTGTTTATAAGACCTATCAGGTCTTTCTTAGGGATGTTAGAGGAATCCATACAACGAATGAGAAAATTTCAATGTTTCAACTCATGGAAATGGAAAATGATATTTCATTCATTGACCTTTTAGAAACAAATGCTAAAAGTCCAACCGGTTTTAATTTGTACACGAACTTTATTTTTTTAGAAATAGAATAAGAAACCTTAGGTAATTGCTTAGAATAATCAGTCACATAATCGGATCTTAAACTTTACTGAATTTCAAAATGTTTCATGTCATTAAAGTTAGTTTCAGTGTCATCACTTCATGAACTCAGGAGATTACATGACTTATAATGTTTCTGGACCTTATAATGGCACGCTACAGATAATAACTATTAGCTATATCGTATGGAGTGTACGAGATTTCCTATTTGTCTCGTTTTTCCATCATCCTTTTCAAATATCGACATTGGTTATATTAACAGTTCCATAGTCGATTGTGTAATCGGAATCTCGGATAAAATCCTCGCAACGATGCGATAGGAGAAAGCTAGTGGAATTTGTGCTCTCCATCGCGAATGCGTGTTAATCTCATTCATTTACGTTTCGAGATGAGTCAAACATCGACCTTAATATACGCCAACGTTTTGTACTTCGAGGTATCAATTGGAATTGAACAATGTAAGAGAAATCCATTAAATCCTGTTGCCGACTATAAGATTGTGAAACGACACAAAGGTAAGTTCGTCGTGAATATGACAGGATCACATAACCTGTCATGTTTCTGGACCATGTAATGAACTTTCAGAGCAGTGCCATTATCATACGATGGTCCTGGAAATCGTCTCAGCTGTTGAAATGACTCGAAAAATAAAGCAAACAAAAAAGCATGGTAGGAAGTGCACACAACCCACCTGATCCCACGGTCACATGTTCACCTCGGCATATCATTAAAATAATCTTGTCTTGTTTTTTGTAATAATATCCGATAATTCATGGCAAGAACTGTGATCTTGTGCCACTTTATAAAATGCAGCCTCGTCAAAGGAAACGGACACGAAGTATGTATAATTAATAAAGATCAATACCTTCTGGTTTCACCAACATTTTATTTATTCGCATATCAAAGAACAGGCGATAACAAAGTATACGAGGATTTTTTTCTCATTTAAATATTGAACCAAATTGATATTGAAAGCAAAATTGTTCATTATCGCCTGTTACATCATGAGAAAAAAACATATACAACTCATACAGAAATACATACCAAACGTAAAACGATTACATTGATAATAAATCTTTGTGTTGTTGAACTAATAGGTAAATATGATGAAACACATAGTATGGCATCTATACCAAAGTTGCTAAAGTAGTTTGTGTGTTGTTAATTCAAGATGAATAATTAAGGAATGATATCGTTCAAAATATTAACCTATTGTGAAATAAAAACCAAAATTTGATTAAAAAAAAATATTGAAGTAATGAGAAAAACATAGCTACATCTTTTTTCGTGAACATTCTCTTACGGTTGTCAACAGAATGCAATTTCTTATAACACAACCGACCGAAGATTAAAGTTTCGATGACAACGCCCTAACTTTCAATAGACAAACAACAAGCGGGAAGCTTGAATGGAGACCGGAAAAATTATTTCACAATGGGTAAACCCATAAAATTCAAACTAGACATTTACTCGGATTTGTCAGAACCAGAAAATACTAATGTAATGGATCAGAGCGGCAGGTGCCAATAAAAAAAACTCGACGGCAGGTTACAGGTGACAGCTATTACTACTGACGTGTGGAGTGTACGAGATTTGGAAGAATCAGTCGTCGTTTAAGGTTGTATTAGGTACATCCTGGCCTTGAAATTAAGCATGATTGTATCATCCATCATGGATATTTGAAAACACTAGACTGGTAGAAATTTCATAAACTCCTTGGCACTGGTGTTAAGTAAATCCTTCTTTTTACATTCGCGACTGGACCTAAACGAAGTGGTTAATTGATATAGGAAAATATTAATGCTTATCAATATCTTAATACTTCTTAAATTCTCAGCGATATTTTTGGTTGTAATCTGGATCCCTAGTTATACTGCAGTGTGCATGACATCATTTGACCATATTCTTTATAACACAAGGAAAATCCTAGTATCTAGTCAGTGTTAAGCTCAATTTACGATAATTATAATTAAACAACAATGCAAACAGAGCGTAATAAGAAACATAAATATTGTCTTAATGCTCATTAGCGTATCGTAGTAACGTTATTAGGACAAATAATTGGTATTTGTGGATTTACAACGAATTAGAATTACTAAAATAATACATCTGTAGCTTTAGGTCACTATTAATTTCGGTTAATCTACCATTTTCCAGTGATAAGGGAATATTTTGAAATTGTTCCCCGAAAGCAAGGCACAATATGTAAATCATATATCACAAAATGTGATATATTGTTATCGGAAATATGTATGATGTTGATATACTGTCATTCAAGACACGACACTTGCAGGCTTGCCTACCAACAACTAAATTCTAAATCATATATCATGCTTTGTTTTTGAAGTTTTCAAAATGATGATATTTTCTCGCTCATGACGCTTGTTAAATACGTGTTCTTCACCCAACACTAAATAGATAATGATACAAATTTTTTGGCAAATATTCTGAATATGTTGACGGGCGACATAAGTAAAACATAACACTTTCAGAAACCGTCATTTTCAATAAATCAATATGAAACATGTAAATATAGAATATTAATTAATAAAACTTAATATGATATCAACATGACTATCGCGGAAACAAACGATCCAAAGATTTTTTAACATGTTATCTTATACTCGTTATTTACGAAATGAAAATCTTTAGCATAGATGAATTTAGAAAATCAGGTAATGGACCAATTACTTCTTTCCTTGTCCAAATGCGCCATGAACTTAACACGAGGTACAATTTAAACCGAAATCCTGTTATCAACCAGGTATCATAGACATGTCACTACCAACCTTGCTCTTTTTATAAAAGTGTCTAGATAATCAAGTCCAGTGTCGTTTTAATATTACCAAATTATTTTACCTGTGAGTTTAACCCTGCTGCCTTGTATAAAGTTCTTTTGGTAGGCGCATATGTTGCCCTTGCAATGCTATTGATTGGTTAAAGATGAACTGATTTAAGCAATCTATTGAACAATTTGAATACGATGTATTACGCTCTCAAAGCCACTATAACAAGTAGAGACTCAATATCTAAAGCATTAACAAATACTTAGTAAATTGGAAATGTGATTATTCAATACGTTGCTTACTTCGACCATAAACAAACGGGAACAACCTTCAACTGAGCGTTCCAGTTTCGGATAACTTATTCCCGTCAATGAGATTTCCGTTGCCACACAGATTACAAGGGTTTGGAAGATAAAAGTTATTGAAGATTATGATAAACATCATAATTCCATTGCGGAATATGTTATTTCCTTGTGGTATATGATGTCAGCATTGTTTAGTATCGGTTTGTTGGCCTGACTATTTGTCGAACATTGAATTAGACAACGTAACGGTGTTATTTTCAAGTATATTAATGTTGTTAATGAGGATATCTGCACTCCCAGAAACAATTATCTGTTCTCTTTTTAAGTGTGATAATCCAATTCGACTCTATGGTGACGTTTAATAACACCTAACAAAACATCCGTTTTGAGTAATGGGAAATATTGATCACAAAAATCCTTCAGACCATCATTGGTGGACTCGAGATATCCATAAATTTTCGGAAAAATCTCATCCTATAAATCAAAGAATTACACAGTCATGGTTTAGCTAGAAAAATAGATATCCTGATTTATCGATATTAATTTTCTGAAAACTGATCATATACTAAATGAGATTGCTAATGAGGATACTATCCCGTGAAACAGAAAATCCAATGAAGATAAAAATGCCGTGTAAATATGGTCTCATTGACGTGTGGACCAGTGTGGCGTCTATGAATTGATGTTTATCTTATACAGCTGAATAATAGTAAAATGCATAATTTTGCATTATATTTTTAAACCATCTTCATTACGTAATTTCAAATAAATATGAAAGTGTTTTAAAATCAATACTAAATTAGTGGGTAATGGTATCTACATTGATGAGTTTTAAATATAAATGTAAATAAGCTATGAATGTAGAAACTCATGAATAGTTAAATATTCAACTTACTCTGAGTCCATAATCAGAAAGCACTGAAAGTAAACAAATTCTCTGGTGAAAGAAGGAAGTGTAGATAAAATACCCCTCTACAGAAATTAAAGCATTCACTATACAATACACAGAGGGATGAAATTAGTGTCAACAGATCTTTTTACAACAAATGGGAGTAAAAACAAAAATTATATTTCATAGGTAGTAAATACTGAAAAGTTTGTTTACTAGAAATACCTGTTATGGTATACGATGTACAAGACCTTACTAAACTCTCGAGTTGGCTTGTGGTTGGAATACAGACACAAAAATAATCCAAACGAACACATAGGAAATACAAATCTTGGAGTTTCGAATCTTGAATTTATTTATGATAAAAAAAAAGATTAAATAAAAACTATTGTGTTAAACGAATTGTTAAGTAAATAAGATTGATTAAAAGATATGAAGGATATATAAACTGCACTCAATGAACCTTAACATTTCAAAGTGTAATATATCAAGGATATGCATCTATCGAATTCGACACTTCATTGATTTCATGTCAAAATAAGAAAGTAAATTAGTGGAAAATACATAATGTACGTAATGCTGAACTGTTTATTAGCAAAGCAAACAACAGAGACTATGACATACGTCAATAAAATACCTTTTTTCTTCTCCATTTCTCGTAAATCTAAAATTCCTACCAGCATGATAGCATATAACCATATAAGAAATAATTAAGAAAATTTAATAACAAAACTGTTTTTCTGTTGTGTTTACTTAAACACATATTTAATGTAACAGAAACCGTAATAATATCAGTATAATCACATTGTAGAACACAATATCAAACTTGTTCTCCAATAACACGTTCGTTATACAGACTGCGACGGAATATTACGGTTAGAAAAAAGTGTTTGAGATTCACCACCTCTTTGGGAGTCGCTCGAACTCACAGAACACATATTTGAGCAAGCATTTGAACATCCACGTCCGTTAGTAAATTGCATTCGATACCTCATTCTTCCGCGATCATTACCTGGCGAGATGAGGTCATCAAATTCCAAATCAAATGACCTTGAACTTACAGGATGACTTTGAACAGCACAACACTTTAGAATGTTTTTAAATTCTCTTTTGAAAATCGGATTCATCCAACAGTACAGAAAAGGGTTAATGCAGGTGCTGCTGATGGCTACCCAATGACATATAAAGAATACTGTACTGTTGTAAGTAAACTGTTTCACATTCGGATGAAGGTCGGTAAGAAGATGATAGAGATTGAGCGGCATCCAACATACAGTAAATACAGCCACAACTGACACTAACAGCTTAATGCTTTTCCTTTTTTCTTGTATTTGTAAAACTCGTTGCTTTTCAGTAACCACTCCAAGTTGTGTACGTAGCCACAATTTGTGTACAATTCTTCCATACGTCACACCTATAATAGACAATGGAATGACATATTGCACTACCATTGTTGCAATTGTGAGACTTTGTTCCCATTTGCCACTTGGGAAGTAAGTGCGACACCTCTTCACTGTAGTTACAAATAGATTCAGGTCTTGTACTCTTGTATAAATTCCGTAAGGCAAAGACAATGAGAAGGCAAGAGACCATATCAGCACTAATATAAAAATCCCTTTCCGTCTTGTAATTCTAGGGTTTAGTGGGTAAATCAAAACACGTTGACGGTCAAGTGCTATAGCAGTGAGTGTAAACGTTGAAACATACACAGAAGTCATTAATGAAAAATTCAGTAGATGACACAAAAATTGTCCAAGAGTCCATTCCGACATAAGTTCCCGCGCAATATTCAATGGCACATTTAAACACGTCATCAATAAATCTGAAAATGCCATATTAGCAATGAAAATGTAAGTCACTGTGTGCATCTTGCGGTTTTTCACCACAACATGAACTACTAACATGTTTCCGAAAAAAGATATGATGACAAGTACAGAAAACGAAACAAGTAATAGAGCAGTACCGGATGCTCCATACCTATGTTCTTTCAATGTCATGAAATTTAAAGTAGTTTGGGAGTGGTTTGTCATACTGAAGATATCCAGTAGAGTATCATTTTCCATGTTATCAAAAATGTCCTGGAGGTAATCCGTAAAATCACTGTTGTCATCCATTTTTCCAAGTTTAATTATTTAGAAGTGGGAGATAGATTCGTATTATGTAGAGTCACACAAAACCGTTTAATTTGAATTAAAGAATGGTTAATAAGAATTAAGATTTCCAGTACGAACAACATAAAATTATCGAAGAAATCCGGTATAATCCTTTGCCATTATGATTAGATAATGATTGAACATTTTCCTGGTTCACTCAATTATTCGTGTTCTGATTTCCAGTTTATTATTTAACAAATTGGTTGGATAAAAAATATTTGAAATTACATCCAAAACAAACTGAAGAAGGAGAAAGGTAGATGTCCAGTAGTCATGAAGTGTTCCTTATTTATATCAATCCAATTATCTGACGGAGATTTACACTGCAGTATATCCATGTAAATATATGAGGCAAAGGGTCATTTGTTGTAATCTTTCCCATCTATCGCCTTGTTAACAGATTTCCGCGCTCCTCACGAAACAATACAATCTTCCTTATACTTATCTCCTCTTTCTAAAGCATACTTATATGTGTACATTTTGGTCGATAAAGGATTCAGCACGAACTTTTGGAAGAAAGCATTTAATATTGGGCAATAGTTGTGTTCTCCATGAACGCCAGACTGCCGCTCAAAGCTGTACACTAAGCCAAATCTCTCCAGCTCTGGTTAGATACGATTAACCAGTGCATGCAGGTCTCGTATAGATATTGTCAATAACATTCAGTCATAATTTACTATGGTATAATGATATATTCAGATTGCATTCTTATAATGCATTTGTTAATCTGTCATTGACGACAACATCTGCAGCTTTAATGATATGGATAAAGAACGACTTATGGTTTTACCACGGTGTATGTAGGCGTACGAATCTAGCACCGTACATAAAAATCGATTAATAGTCACTATGTTTTATTTGCAAATTTTCCATTTTAAGAAATTTATATGCCCTTGGGAGATAATCATTAGCATTCCTCCTTTTCTCTTTCTTCATTGAGAATGTCTTTGGAAGCAAAATCACAGTGTTTAAGATGTTCTTGAATATTCATGTTCATGTTGATTGATAGATGCCATTGCCTAAATTAGAGAAGTTGCCAGTAGGTCAACTCTTACAGAACTTGGCAGAAGGTTGCAATGTGATAAAAAGACCACATCATACTAGATAGGATTGACAGGCTGCTGAAGGATGATGGATACACTAATGACACTGAAATCAAATTAACAGATCCTTTGTCTCATGATCGATACTTGTCACCGATTGTCTGTGCCAGTTCCGTGAAGCCTGCAATATACAACGATACATTTCTGTCATATACAGTTCATGTAAAAAATAAGATAGTAATACATTACAAAATAACCAGATCATGTTGAAAAAAGATAATAATAAATACTGCATAACAAAACAAATTAAAATTATGAACATCAAAAAAATAAATATTAAGCAATACAATTACGGTCCAACCTCGTTATCCCGAACTCGGCGGACCCATTGGATAACTAACTCCGCGATAGCCGAGTATTAGACTTAAAAGAGTTAGCATTTCTGTGTAAAGGTAGGCAGGGACCGACGAAATGCTTCGAAGTAAACGCGGTCTTCGAGATAACTAGGTGCGGATGTATATAAATCGTTACGTAGCACTTCGGACTATAGTTCATTATGTAGCACTTGAAGTAAATAAACATGTTTACGTTTCCATCGCATTTTATCAATAGTATTGATAAGGAGATGAACGAGTCCTCGCTATTAGCCAGATAAAGCTGAATAACATGTCTAAATCACCACTAATCTTCAACAACGACTGCTCTCTAATTTGCTGTCTAAAGAGGACATTGTTTTCTTTATATGGTCTTTTACCGAACATGCGAACTTTTAAGGAAATCTTCAAAGATATGCCATGAGGGAAAGGAGTCCAAAATCTAACGACACGAAACAAATAAAAATGTAAAGGATAAATGTCAAAACATTTTCACGTACATGTTAGAATAACAAAATAGTTATGTGAATATAGTTAAAGAGACTAGCACTTCACAAATAGTCTATGATTTTGATACCTTAACAGAAAAGATAAACAGAAAGTTTACATGTGTTATGTTATTATATCAATTATTTCGTTTCCATTGTGAACAGTTCATTATATGCTCTCTATATGTCTCTTTAGCAAAGTGACCATTCACAGAAATTCGCTGTCATCGATTGTAATCTGTTGTTTGCATGTTAGTTCCAATCATCTTATCTTTAAGTTTATGCACGTGTGTCAAGGGAATAACAATGCAGTGGGTAGAGGTGAGTATTGTTTTTTTTTCAAAAATAAAGTTGTGAACAGTTTATAACATTTTTAAAGATTTATTGATTATGGTAACCGAGGGCATCCACATGACAGAATATGATTAATATAATACAGAGAATTAATCGAAGACTGAATCTAAATTACAACAGATAAATTAACTCAAACGCATGCAATACTATATAAATAATAACAGAATATATGGAGATATAAAAGGCGAAAAATAGAAATAAACAAAGACAACAGCCAAGCTTTACCGAAACAGATATACTTAGCTTATGTTCTTTGAGTGTTTTGCCTCACTTAGCAATATTCAAATCGGAACGGTTCACACATATTAAACAGTCAGCGTCTTAAAATCAGTATCATGTTTTTGTGAAAAAGAGTAAAAGATGTCGTTTTAGATAGGACAATATAGATGTAAAACAGAAGCTATTGAGGTAAAGCCCTAAGATTTACGGAACACTCTTTAATAGTGATGATAATGTGTTAACGTATAGGTTAAAAATTGAAACTTAGATAAAAGGAATTATCACAATACCAACTTTTTAATCATGCATAATTGTACAAATGAATAACACCTTTCAAAATATAATTTAGAGTCAGATATAATAAAGTCAAATATTGAATCCAACTGCATCACACAGCTCTCTTTCTTGGACTCGTCAATGATGCTGCTCGCATACATCTTAAGGCCTAGGAGACGACTGAGGGAAGCCCAAAGTGATCGAAAGGAAAGTCAAAATCTACACAGGGAGGTGCACTAGCCCCATTACTTAATAGATACCACTATTATGGATTAGAATGTGGACTTTTTGGTTACGGCAAACCTCAGGGACTTTAAGTCCACCAGCAGTGTCTACCACCTGGTATCTCAAAGATTGTACAAAGGACACACAGGTGAATAACGGTTTAAAATAATGCTTTTGAACTACCATAACATTTTAAAATTAAAAGTCTCTGCGTGAAATTTCAATTTCCGTTTTGATAACTGTTTAAATGAACACTACAGAAAACACAAATATTTAATTTGTACGAACGGATATATATTTGCAATGTATTGACAGAATTAGATTTTTCAAAGATGATATCGACACGTGTTTACATGGTAAAATGAAAATGTTAGGTAAAAGCTGGAAATGAAAATTCTCAATGTAAAGTAAAAAAAGTTTTGTAACACTAAAATGTCGTTGCGTGGATGTGAGTTCGGTATTTTCAAAATTTGAAAATTAAATACATGGAAGAAAGTGGCATCAATTTTAAAGATTTGTCGATATGGTATAACCCTAAAACAAGACTATTTGTTTTAAAACATTAATTCTCAGGTGTAAAATCGCCTCTCAAAAGCCATGGCTTGCATGTTTCAATGTTTAAATGAGCATGTCCCAGTCTGAATTCATTAGGAATATTGATTATACCATCTTTAATGGTAGACCCCGTAAATAAGTACATAAAGCTGACTGGAGTCGTGACAAATTTCCTTCAAAGGAAATTACATCATTAGATTGTAGGAATTGTACATGGATTGTTTGCTAATCAACTGCATGTTGATTCATTTGGAACAAAATAAAATAAAATGAAATATGAAAGAATACACAAGAAAATGAAAGTTGACCCGATTTTTCATTTGTCATTGATACATTTAGATAAACAAAATTAAATTAATATATTTTATCGATCTTTACATCAATTATTTCAAGATTAAATGCGTCGCTTTAACAACACACTTTATACATTTCGTGGTTTTCCGCCAATAGCGGGTTTGTTCAATACTTTGTAACTAGAATTTAGGTTGACAATGATTTAAGAAAAGATATAGTAGGCAATATTTTGGTATCAATGTTTGAATTTAAACTCACGGGAAAATAGCTGTACTTATAGTGTATATTTATGTCATTGCCTGACGGCAAAAATCTCACCTAAGTCCCACTCGTGGAATCATCTTAAAATTATTAACGAATGCCCCACTTAGAGATCACAATGCATTGGGCGGGGTGTAGAGAGAGGAGTTACTATGCTAAATGTCTTGCCAGCATCTAAAGTCATTTAAACTAATCCTGCATGCAATGTGAGCGAATGTGCTAAATCTGTGCGTGTTTGTTGGATAATATTAAATGTTCGTGTAAGCCTTCTTGTAATAGTGCAAAATTGATTTGGTCTTTAAAATGGTGTCATACTGACGCAAAATACCAGGACATCACATCCGGGCGCATTATGCCACAATGCTGAGATTTAAGCAGGAAGCTACTATTTTTTTATAAATCACAGATGAACCAGGGATCAGAAACCAATGTTTTTCTAACATGGAATAACGCTCTGAAATATACTGCTGCATGCAACCAGCAGGACATCCCATCATGTTACATTATACTGACAACGTGTGTATCAGTCGTTTCACTACCATAATACCGAGAGTTCTGCAGGAAGCTACTATTCTTAAATTCACTGATATGCCAGGAAACTGAACCGAATGGCTTCCTCACATGAGAGAACGCTCAACTAAAGCCAAAAGGGAGAAAGTGTTAAAGGAGATATAAGGAAAAATTGTTCCTTTGGTAAGAAGAGAAATTGTATAAAATTTGTTTCCAGATGACAGAAAAGTTGTTGCATGTTACCATTTCTTTATCCTCCTTTTATCTAATGAGATCGAAAAATATGTACATTGCCCTACCATCAAGGGTCGAGTAACACTTATGACAAATACAAGTTAAGAGAATGTACTAGGTGAACTAAA